TTTTGTTCTTCTTGTGTGTCAGTTATCCACACCAATCAGAAGTGCTGTGCTCCACAAGTACCAGCCATTCTTAATCAATCAGAAGTGGCCCATGATAGAAGGTGATAGACAGATTGATCCAATCACCTGCCAAGTGCTTTTGAAAGTGCCTGCCCTTTCCAAATGGAGCTCTCCTAGATGGTTTGGTGAAACAAACCATCTGAGTCAGGTTAGTAATGCTCCATCACATGTTTTACATCTATTACAGGGTGAATCTTAAACTGAAGCTTGACTTTAAAGCAACCCAACGGAAGTTTCATGTAAGTTTAGTTCTTTCACTCGTAGCTCGGGCTGTGGGGGTGCTAGAGACGGGAGTACGTTGATACGACCTTCCTAGACGGAGTTATGGCCGCATTTTACAATAAACTTCCGTTGGGTCGCTTAAAAACAAATATCGCAATTCGAATCGTAATATTTGTCAGAAAAATCGCAATTAGATTTTTTCCCAAAATCGTGCAGCCCTAATATCTATATACATATACACTGTACTGTGTCAAACCCACAATGCATCGACTGGATGGATTAACACCATTTTACCAACCATCTGAGGAGTGTACTAACTAACTAACTACTGTTAGTATTGCGAGCAAAGCAAAATGCAATGTTTTGTTGAAATTGGCACATGGGCCAGTTTCAACATGAACAAAAATAATTAAATGAGAATACCATACATTCTCTGATGACGAGTTGAAACTAGATCAAACTGCATTTTGTACACGCATCAGCCTAATCAAAATTCCATCTCGCAACAACAAACAATATTCTAATTAGATGGTGTGTCTGCTGCTAACACGGATTCAAAATCCTCCGGAGACCATCCAGTCTGCTCCTCTGCTATCTAACAGACCAGTTATTTGGACAGCATTTTAGTCATTAAGTCAACCTGCCAGTAAGTCACAGTCATAGTCAGATAACCAGCTTTAAAAATACCATCGAAGGTAAGTAATGGAACACTTACATTTAGCCGGTTTCACATTTCACTAAGTGGCATGATTCATTTACACTCTTAAGATAAAAATACAGGAGCTGCTGATAGCAACCTTCACACACGCAGGCTAACAACAACATCAAGTTGACCAAAAATATTAATAAATCTGTTTCTAATTCTAAACTTGAACGAAAAGCTGTTAATGAATCATGTGAGAATCAGAAGGGGAAGTGAGGTGGGAAAAGGGGAGGAGAGGTGAGAGGAAGAGAGGCGAGTACAGCAGAGCAGCCATTAGGATGCAGTCGGCTCACTATAAATAGGCCAGTGCCCGTCTGGCTGTGAAGGAGTGACAATCAAATATTTCGTAGTCACGCTGGAGCCTTCTGACAGCTTTCTGTGGTGCTTTGACATACACAATATCTGTATTTATGTCAAACATTGATATTCTTTATCACAAAGCCCCATGCTGTTTAATAACTGTGACTAATTTATTCAATGCTTCTGGATACAAAATGAAGTCTTTATGAAAAGCATGTCATGGCATTGATGGATCTTCTGAATCTCTGATCTTAAAAGTAACAACAACTGGGGTATAAAATCCTTAATTTCAACACACATCTGCTATATCAAGATCAGCATGTTGTAGTCACTATAACAACCCCTGAATTGAGTTATAGATTTAAGCATAAAGGCCAGCAGCTAACACATACATGTACATTATATGAGTTATGATGACTTAAAGGTAGGGTAGGTAAGAATGGAGAAACCAGCTTGAGTGCGCTAGAATTTGAAAGTATGCAGCCGAAAAAAATCCGCCCCTTCCTTCAGACTTCCTTACAGAGCCCCTCCTCCAACACACACAAACGCGCACATGACCAATGAGGGCACGAGATAAGTTTGTGCACAGATGGAAGTCTGACAGGCAGTTAGGCCATCCAGTTATTTTAGCCGGGCCGGCTCAGATGACTGGTCGTGCTTTTTACAGCGCTACGGATTCCACAAATGTAGAATTTTTGTATGTATTTATTGTCAAATCATTTAATACATTCATTGCTATCGGGATGTTAAGAGCAAAAGGTTTTTCTGAAATAAATTACATACCCCACCTTTAATTTTGGTTCTAGTGATAATTGATTGGATAGTAGTTTTTGTAAACAACATCTTACATCAGCAACCTTTACAAAGATTTCATTAATACTTTTTTTATTTTAATAATCTATTGTTACTCCTTCGGTGCTTACTTAATATGTACTTGATATATTGTTTTATTAAAGTTTTTTACACAAGAAAAACAGTTGGATAACTGTCAGGAAAATAATATTCTCTAACTTGATGTGTGGTATGAACTGGCAGTAATATCAAACAAGATATCAGTGACATTATAGTGCAGTGAAAACAATGGTGAAAGAAGGAAATCCAGTCAAACAGGTTTCATTTGAAAAATATAAAACTTTAATAAAGGCTACATCTCTCAATAATTACAATAATTATAGGTCCATGTAAATCTTTAAATGAAACTCTTTATATAATGTATAATTTACAGTTTAGATAGAATGAAACAAAACAAAAAACAAATGGCCGTAGTGTAAAACAAAACAAAAAAACATGATTACAGGATATTATTAAAAGCACAAAAATATCTTTTCAACATGAAACCCTTCTGAAAACCAAGGGATATATATTAAACCCCTGAAACAGGGTAGCACATGGTATGGCATCCATGTAGGCACAGGTGCTGTACTCATAAAACACCAGCGAAACTGTGTTTGTCATTTATGTGTGTGTCCATCACATGTATCAGTATTCATACTTCAGAATGCATAATTACAATGTATACAGGAGCTCTGCTATATACGATGTTACTGTAACAACATTCAAAAGGTATCGGAGCCATAATTCTTCACTTTTTTCTTTTTTGTGTTTTTTTGACACGCTAGCTGACTTCCCCGAGAAAGTCGTTTTCAGTGATCCAAACTTGTTCTTGTTAGCACAAGTTATTTTGGTGTGGGGGCTGTAAACACTGCCATTATTAGATGGTACAGCTTGTGCTCCAGGTCTCCTCTCTGTGTGTATCTGTTTACACCCCCCACCCCTCGTGCAATGCCTGATTTACAAACAAAGGCACAACAAAAAAGATTGAGCTCTGTCGCCGGACTGGGAGAAGAATAGAAGGAGGGGGGACGGGGACGTGGGAGAGGAAATGCTAGTGTGAAAAACTTAACATTATAAACTATCAGCAGCATATAAGACTGGGATTGACCATTAGAATGGAAAAGAGTGCGCCTCGGAAAAAGACCACTGCGAAGGTTGTTAGTTCAGATCAGGCGGGCGACAAGGCTATTGGAGGTGCTAGGCTGGTGTCACATAAAGTAAAAAACAGACAAAACAAACAATATCACCACAGTATTCTCCCAACATTCAAAGCAGCTTGCCCATTGGCTGGAAATAGGGAGGGAGGGAGGGGTATATTTAAGAAAACTAAGGAACAGGGTAAAGTGTGGGTGTTTTTTTTCTCAATAAATACTTAATAAAAACTTTCAACTCATGACGAAAAGCATCTCTATATATAATACATGTATATATACATAAATGCATGTATGTATATGCACACGTACAGACGTTTTTGTAGCGATGTTGAAGTGTTAAGAGCAGGTTGGTGCTAGTCCGTTGCACTCGGCAGTCTCTCATCACAACAAAACAGTCATCTACATCTTCAGTGGTTATATATTTAAGAAGAGGCGGGGTCTCCCCCCCACTAGCCTCCAATCATCATCATCATCCTTTGTGTTGGTCTTTTTAAGTCTCTCGTGTCATTCCCTTGTGTTTCTAAGGCTGATTGGTTGATAAAGTCAGGGAGGGGCGTTGACTCCTCTGGGTTCGGCATACTTCATTGGCTCGTCTTCCTTCAATCGCTCCTCTTGTGCTGGATATATTAACTCTGTTTAGCTTAATATTAAGAAATAGAAAAAAAACAAAACAAAAAATAGGAGTCTAGAGTATTTTTTGTTAATTACAAAGAGTCTCTTGCTCAATTTTCTTTAGGGATAGTTTAGCTTTTGGTTGGGCGGGAGAAGGGCATTGGTTGGTTGGCAACAAAGTGGCTTTCAGTCCATCCTCTCCACCTTGCCCAGGACCTTGCCCTCGTACATGGGCAACAAGTTGGCATCCTCCAACACCTCCTCGAACACGGCACCGCACTCAAACTCATCGCTGGCTTTCTTGAAGTAGTACCTGAGAAGGAAACACAAAGAGAGGTCCGTGGTTAGAAAATGTTGAGCGTGGGTGTGAGTGAAAAAAATAAATAAACCTTGAACTCATGACAGGAGTTGCAGCAGGAGTGCATTTGATACATTTCATCGCATTTTAAGAGCGCTTTGAGGCACCTACACGAACACTTCCATATACATGCTTGCGCACAACTCCCTTTAGTCCAAATCAAACACAAACACAAACTCTGAGAGCCAGAAATGGATCCTGCTCAAAACAACTTAGTCATAGCCTTCAATGCCATCCCCGCACACTTCAAAGGCTGAGCCTGACTCCACATCACACCACTGCACAAACAGAGCTGAACCCTAGCTTTAAACACTCCCAGTGATAATTCAAGCTGCTAGAAACCGCCTGTTTGTGTGTGTGTCTGTGTGTGTGTGTGTCTGGGTGTGTGTGTCCATCCATGTGTGCTCATCTCCTCATCTACTGCTGACCATCCTACAGATTACGGATGCCTATCTGTCCTGCAAGGTCTTATTAAAGTTGAAGGGTTAATTAGAGGCTGTCTTAAGCCCCCCCCTCCCCTTTCTTTCTCTCTTCAGTAGCCCCCCACCACACCACACCCCACCCCTTCCCTCTGTGTCTCCATGGCTTCTAATTGGGCTGGCTGTCAAATGAAGGGCCTTTCTGTCACACAGGTTGGCATTACAGGTGCCTGAGAGTCTGCATGTGACTGAAGGAGCACACTCCGCTGCCTGCACATAAACATGCCTTGTGTTTCACACGCCATCAGACACGCACACACTTCGGGCAGCGTTCCGATCACCAGCGGAGAACAGAGGGGGAAAGAGGGAGCGGGAAGGGCAGAAAGCGGAGGGGAAGCGGAGCGCAGGCCTTCCTGGCTCGCTGAGTGGGTGTGATAGATTGGATGTAGGCCGAGCCTGAGGGGCTTTTAAAGGGAGGGGGGTGGCACCGCTCAGACAGTCTCCTGGAGGTCACAGGTCACCTAGCTAGCCCACTCTTCTTCTTCTTCTCTCAAGCAGAGATAACTCCCAGGGTTAGCTTGGCCCCAGTGACTGTGAAGTCTCCTGGAGCTCCTCATGATTTCTCCTCTCTACTTTCAACCCAGCAAAAGATCAGCGGGAGGGGATTTAATGATAAGCTTTGTAATGGAAAAATGCCTAATTTTGCCCAAGTGTGCTTGCGTTCAGACTACAAAAAAAAGAAGAAAAAAGAGATTTAAAAAGCTGTTTTATGAGCAATCGCTGAGTTTAGAGTGATTCAAACAGCACATATAAGAAGGGTTGTGCAAAAACATACACATGCACTTTTATTTGCCCTGTTGATTATAATTATGCCAAAGAGGAGGAGGTGGCACCACCACAGCTGCAAGACTTTCTACACAAGTGTGCAGCGATGTGACAATTGATGGCTTTGTTTAATGATATGGCATCTTGGCAGAGTTTCACTCTGTTGACTAAGCGTTAGTGGGCAGGATTTAGCCGTTTGTAGAAACCAAATAAATGCATTACCCTCCTCAGTCTCATTGGCTGATTCTTTTTGCTAAATTTTTGCTCACAAATAGTTCAAAGTCATCACTTTGTTTCGGAGAGTGAGACAGAGAGAGACAGAAGGAGTCGTTTCTATTGGAACATGTTTTATGTGGCAGGATTTTTCTCTCTTTGCAACATCTGGCACCAATATCGTCTGGCAGAGCCGTGGCGTACTGTTCTCCACTGTACCGCTGCCATGTCCAAATTAACCAACTCCACACATTCTGCTGCCATTGAAGCCAGACGCTTCATCCCCACCTCCCCACTTTTCATTCGCTCGATGAGTTATGGGATAGCAGGGGTGCAATGACTTGTTTGCAGGCTTTCTCTCTTGACTAACAAGCAGATGTGGCTGTAACCTAATGTTGATGTCATGGGCATGCAGTTTGTGTTTTTTTCAGTGGCGTACAACATAAACAGAACTGCAACTTGATAAATAAGTTCCTGATGTATTGTCCTCAAACTGCACAGATATCTCATAAGGTCTTATGTTTTTGAAATTCCCCTCATCATCTTGCTATCAGACATTAACAAATGAAGGTGCTTACAGCGTTTGATTTTAATGCCTGATGCAATAGTGTGGAGGAGGAATTTGAAGGCCTCGCAATGGTCTTTGTGCAAAAAATAAAATGGCCCAGTCTTCAAAGCCATATTTATTAAGGCTGCCTTACCGTTGAAATCAGTACCAGATGTGGGGGGAAAATTCGCCCCACAACCCCCCCTCATTTCCCCCCCTCTCTGTAAGCTCTGAATACAGTGGATCAGCCCAGTTTCTTTTCAACTATCCGCCTCCGTTATTTCACACTCCCACTCAGCATATACAAGTGCAATAACAAGTGCACACACATACAGACACAGATAACCTGCCCAACAAACCCTGTCTATCAGAATATGTGATGTGTTTTTGGTCAGTGGTTTTGTAATTACCGGTAGTTGCCTTTCTTGCTAAGCTGTTCTTTGAAGTGTCCCAGGGTGAGGCAGTGGGTCTTCATCATGCTGCGATAAGGAATCTCTTCACCACAGAAGAAGTAGGTGACCACGAGCTCCTTAGACCTGAAGGGGCAACAAATAATAACTGGTTTTAGAGCGCTGTACTTGTAAGAGTCAGGTTGTTGAATGTAGACAAGGAATCTTTGGAGTATAATTAATTAAGGATGTTAACGGACAGCTAGCTTACCTAAGGGTCAACTAATTAAAACTGAAAGAGGCTTTAGAGTCAGGTGGCTGTAGCTTAACATCAAACACCCACCCATTCAACAACACATGTATGAAGGGGAGAGTTACATTTGAGTTATCAAGGGCTGCTTAACACGACTTTGTTGGGCTCCAGCGGTGAATGTGTTGGTTTGGGAGACGGGTGGGTAGTTAGGATTGCGAATTAAAGCATGTTTAATCTTAAATGATTAAAAGGCGAGAGAAGAGGAGTTCAAAGACATAGCTATGCTGACTCACAACATCTCTCTTTGAACGGGAGAGTGAGAAAATCTGCGAGGAGGAGGGTGAAAACACGAGCTGGGAGAGGGAGGGAACGCTAACAAAGTCTATCGCTAATGACTTCTGATTTTAAAAAGAAAAATCAAATTAAGGGAAGTTGAGCAGTAGAAAAAAAGACAGTAATGTGTCATAGATAAAAGAAGACGTACTCGTCTGCTGTGAGTCCGGGGCTGGAGAGCGGGGTGCCTCCAGCTGCCGGATGGCTTCTGTCTCTCGGAAGGCTGCTGGCTGCTGTTGAATGCCTGTTAAAACCACAGAAATCGATCACATTGTTATCAAGGTAAATTATTTGACACCATTTCAAATGTATAATAAGGTGATCCATGAAATGTGAAAGATGGGGAATATGTATGTGAGCTAAATGTTTGCCATACCTTTGTTTTGGGGGCTTGGAGACTTCTTCTAGTCTGCGGCAGGCCTCCTCCAGCTGTGCCAGGGTGTTGGGTGGGCGTAAGGGGGGAATGGCCGGGTCCTGGATGAAAGGGTGGCCGGGGTGGTGGCTACGGAGGTGAGCCCCGCTGCCAATGCCGCCTCCGCCCCAAGAGGAGTGTGTCCGGCTGGGCAGAGTCTTTGAGTCGAGAGGGTTGGACTTCTTTAGGCCTTGTATGCTGTCGGGATAAAATACAACATGAGCTGAGAACTCCAGACACCAGTGCTGAGTGGAGTAATAATGATTTAGTCTAGGACAGCACTTACACATGCTTTGATTACTTGATTTAATTCACGGATCTCTAAAATGTTGTTTCTCCAAAAATAATCATGCAAAACTGCAACTTTAAATGTTGTGTTTACCAAATAGGTACTTATTTGTTTCTTTTAATCATTTACCATGAAACAAAGTAAAACTAAATGTCAAAAGAAATCTCCACGACTAGGACCAAGGTGACTTATCGACAAAGAGGGTGCGGTCTGTTAGTGTTTCGTGGTGCCAATGTCCGTGGTGACAATTTCTTACCTGTGTGGCTTATGCTTGCCCTGCCTCTCACTCTCGAGGATCCACTGCCAAACATTCTGAGAGCGGTCGGTGGCATCTAGGGGAAGGCGGGTGGACACTCCCTCATCGGTGGCCTTGATTGGCCGCTTGGACAAAGTGCTGCAGCGACTGGAGGAAAAAGAAGAGGCCAGTTAGCACCAGACAAAAAGCAGATTTAAGAATATAAAGTAACTAAGGGTAAATGTTGATGGAAAAGTGGTGGGAAAGGTTGTATTTACGCAGGGGTGAAGTCGGAATAATTGGCACCCCCTGGAGGGCAGAGGCACTGCACGCGCTGAGCCGCCTCGGCCTCAATCTGCTCCTTGGTCCTGGGCCCAGCGTGGTGATGGTGGATGTAGTGGTGGTGGATGTGCTTTGTGGACTGACGGCCAGTCATGAGAACCTTGGCTGCCCCAGGGTAGGCACCGAAGAAGGGCCCGTGGCCAGAGGACACCAGAGCTTCTGTCTGATCTGGAGAGCGAGAGCGTGGCGAGTGCCGAACCACACCTGGTGACTGGCAGCCGGGTGTCTTCAGCACACGGGACAGGTGCTCGTCCAGGATAGCCTGAGGGTCTTCCTCACACTGACTGCTAGATGGGAGCAGAGGGTGTTGGATGGAGGTGCTGCTGGTGGGATCACTGCTCTCCTCCCTTTCCTCCTCCTAGATAGGCAAAGAAAATAATACAAAAGTTAAGTGAATTGATAAAACAGTCATAACCACCATGCACATGTGGGAAAGGCAGCCAGAAGAGGAATTTGTGTCTAAACTTACACCAACTTATATCTATCGTCCTGTGAAATCAGTGAGAGCAAACGCCTGGATAACTTGATTTGAGTTTCCTTTTTGCCGCACTGTTATCTTCGCTAACAGGCTTTGGGTGCGCTTCATATATAATGCAGAGTTTGCCTCTGCTTCACAAAGAGACTGGCACTGCACACACTCAGCAAGCGTGCCACTGGAGAGTAGCTAAGTGCTAACTATTTGAAGGAGCTTCAAGTGTGTCTAGAAACATAAGTTTGAAAGTTCCTCCAGATGAAGTAGGAGGACAGAGAGGAAAAGGGAAGAAGAAGCTAAACCAAGACAGACTTTCAAATCCCTTGGTGTTTTCCCTGTTCTTCGACATGCTAAAGTTGGCACATAGGCTTTCATAGTGCCTTCTCCAGAGGTAACTTGGATACAAGTTAGAATTTCTTAATGAAAGCTATGCTCAATGTGTGTGGAATTGCCAGAGCAGTTTTGTTTGCATCCATACCTCCTGGATCTGCTGCAGCCTCTCCTCCAACGAGCTCATGGTGTCCTGCTCTCGCTTCAGCTTCTCCAGCTTGGATATGAGCTGTGCAGCAAAGGCCGACGGCTCCACAGGGGTCATCTCCTTAGGCAGCCGATGTGTCCTCTGCAGGGTAAACAACACAGGGGGAGGACCATTTAGATTGTGTGTGGATGTAAGTTCGTACTGTTTTTGACAGATGCAATATGCTGCATTAATCCACTGCTCTATATTGTTCCAAAAAGGCCTAATCCAGATGCCCTTGCCCTGGAGCTAACCTGAACCTTCTTCACCGCCCATCCCTCCCATGATCGTCTCATGCCCAGTGCCCTTGACTGTGCCAGGCTGCTGGGTGAGGGGGGGAGAACGGGGGTAGTGATGGCAGGGTAGCAGTTGGTCTCACTTGGAGGGGAGGCCCCCTGCCTGCACCCTCTGTAGCCCGACCAAGCCATCAGCTAGGCTGCCTCTGAAGTCAACACACTTCAAAGGGCCCTTGTCAAACATCAAACGCACACTAGGGGTGGGAGGGACACGCAGCTTTAAATCTCCGAATAAAAGCCAGATATCGACAGAGAAGAGAGAGTGAGGAGAGGGGAAGAAAAAAAGGGAGAGGGGGACAAAATGAACCGCGTGAAAAAAGAGGAAGAGGATTGAGATGTGCGTTAGTGAAGTGTCAATGGTGGCGGGGAGAGAGCGAGACAGAGAAGGGAAAAGAGGGAGGGAGAGGATAGAAGAGTCCAATACTAGGAAGATCTGAGGGGAAGTAGTCATTTATTTCCCGGCTGCATGCAGGGCAGCTCAGAGGTACTCTAGTCACATTATCCTCCTTTTCTTTAACTATATGCACAGGATTCTCTCTCTCTGCCTTTCTTACTTTTTGTTATTTGGCACACTGGCTTTCTTGATTTTGACTCTTTTTTTGTTGTTCCTCTCATCTCTTTGTAGACACGATGAAGGGAAGAAGAAGAAAGGCAAGCAGAGCTGCTGGCAAAGGAGCGCTGCACGGGGCCCCCGCTGCCTGGGGCTGGTGCATCATGGGAGACAGAGCCATCTCCAAATCAGGAGGGAGACATTAAAGGAGTGCAAGTGGGAAAGGGAAAGAGAGATAGAGAGAGAGGAAAAGAGAAAAAAGGCGGAACAGACAACACTGTCGATTGCATGCACTCAACATACTTCCACACACACACACACACACACACACACACACACACACACACACACACACACACACACACACACACACACACACACACACACACACACACACACACACACACACCTGTGTTTGGATATGAAGAAAAAATATCTTAATGTCTTGCCTCAAACAGAGCCAACTCATAACCTGTGTCAATCTGTTCTAACCCAGTTCCTTAAAGCTGTCCACCACAACTTCAGCAGGTCAACAACATATTTAATTTAAAACACATGCACTGCATGACCCAAATACTAATAGGACCAGATATCAGGGTGGGAGATGAGCAACCTAGATGTTGAATGAAGTCATTAGCATTAACACTGTTGCAATGTTAATTACCTTTGCTACAACGACAGCTATCATTGATGCATAACACATATTAAGCTATGGCCCTTTGTGAGATGCTACAGCTACTGAATCAGAATACAAAGATGACAACACAAGTTTATATTTACAGCCTTACAGAAGCTACAGGGAAGATGGGGGTTGTGGCTTTAAACAACAGAAGAAGTGAAGTGGTATGCAAATGCTGCCTTTCATTTACCCTGACTTTTATATGAAAACGACTCGGGGAATGAAATATAGTATTCTGTCACAACATGAGCTCTGGAAAATAATAAAATTAAAATAAAGCACAACTCCTCGAGGGAATCAGGACCCAGTTGTCTGTCAGTTTGTAAAAGTTTGAGTTTAGCAGATTACAAAAAAGGAAACACTGAGACAGGAAGTAGAATTTAAGGAAGTAGGACTTACAGGAAAGTGGGGTAGTGTAATCTGGCCATTGATCTTGACACTGCGGTGCATCTCTCGCTGGAGTTGCTTCTTTGTGCCCAGTTTATATGGAGGGATTCCATCTCTGTAAAAACAACAATATTTACATTTGGTTAAAAATACAACTTGAACTACTTTCTTTTATAATTGGTGTTCTGTTTCATCATTTACTGCAACTTATTATGCCGGGCACAATACCTCCACATCAACTGTCAATGCATTTGTGCCATTATACAATCTTTGTGGAGAAAAAGCCTTTTGGAGGCAGTTCATCATTGAAGACACAACACAACACCACCCACTAGGCCCATTACAGCTAAATCAAAAGGCCGGGGAGCCCTTGAAGCCAAGGCAACACAAACACACATAACAAAACACACCAGGACAATGGTAGAGATATGCTAAACATCACACATTCAAAAGAAGAGCCCCGCCGATAAGATGACATCAGTCCTTGTCAACTCTGACAATGGTTGTTTAAAAAGCAGACAAATTAGCGCTTAGCTCAGTAGCTGCTTAGAGACAGAAACTACAACACGCTAGCAAGCGCTGCTTAAGCGCTGCTGTCTTGGTAGTTCTGACATATGAAATGAGATATGAGAATAGAAATGTAGCTAGGAATACCAGTGGTCTCCGGACAATTAAGCATTTATTCTGGGAATCTTGTTCTCCATTTTTCATTCTGTGTCTGCTAGCATTTCCAGTCATATGCCACTTAAGCTGGGCCAATTATCTTGGCCGTTTTGGCTGCTCAGAAGTGTCTGACCTAGCCCAAACGCTACTTTTTCTGCTGCCTCTTTGAAATCTCACACTCATGCACATATGCACTCGCTGCCATCTTCGTTTGGCAAGCGCTGTGCTGTGAGCCTCTGATCTCAGCAACATCAAAAGGCTGGTTTGTAAGATAAGGTAATGTTTGAAGTTGGTGCAGCAGCATTCCCCAGCGTCCAAGTAAATCCATAAATAAGATATAAGCAAAAAGAGAAAAAAATCCCCCACCCCTTCTCCCTCCCCCTTCCCAAATCCTCCTTTTCTTGTTCTTTATCTGGGAAATGAGATTTAAAATCACAGTGTGCCTTTTAACCACTGTAAAAGGACACACTAATCAAATGTTTCCCTCAAATGAGAGAAGAAGAAGCTGGGTTTTTATTAAAATCAGTTAGCAGTACAGAACGCTGGGGACAAGGACAAGAGGGATCGCTGTGTCAAAGCCCTTGGTGTGAATATTAAAGGAATATGACTTTGACACATGGACATTCTCTTTTATTACCCTAAACAAGTTCTGCAAGTCACAATTCAGAGTGACATTATCAAGAAGATAATGGAGCCAAGCTCCCGATATTGCTTGTGTTGCAGCAAGCTTTTTGAAAGTCAGGCCTACTACCAAAAAATCAGTGCTTCACAAACAGTACCCTTGAGACTACAAGCCATCATCCCTCCAGGTGCAGGAAGAAACACAGGAAACTCCTACAAAGTAAAACTCAACAGCCCGGAGGAACATGCGTGCTAACAAGAACCCCAAACTTGGAGGCAAAACATCATTCGCACACAAAGCAACTTCCCTTTCGCTAACTATGTTTTTATCAATCCAAACTGTCTCCACCTTGGGGAATCATGTGATGGCTGGGTGCTTTGTCCAGGTTGGAGAAGAGAACAGCTCTGGACTCTTTCATGGTTTCATGGGCCCTTACTTTATGGGGATCTCCTATTCAGTTGTGCAAGTCATTTTCAAAGCAGCCAGCCACCCTCTTATCCCCCTAAGCTCCCCTCACCTAACAATAGGCTGAAAGCGATTCAGTTAAGCCCTTTATACTCCATGCACTTTATTTTCTCACTCCCTTGCACTTCGAGCCTAACCACTCCTGCTATTGGCTCTGGAGGGTGGAGGAGAGATGCTGTTGAGGAGGAGGGTGAGGTGATTTTTTGGGGGGTGCCCTAGTCTGGCCAGGGGGAGTTCCTCATGCCTTGTCCCAAGGTCTAGAAATGAGTAACCCCTGTGAAAGCCTCACAGACACATGATCTCAGCACGCCGCAGAGGCCAGTGGCAGGAAACCGACCCACCATGTGAGTAAGCCTCCTTTCATTTGGTGCCAACATTTTTCAATGAGTTTGTCTTGAGGCCCGAATGGCCATTTCCCTCCCCCCCTCTCCTTCAGCTCTTCAAAGGGAAAAAGCGATTAGATAATATGAAAAAAACAAGTCTGTTGTGGCAGAAGGGTGGGTGGGATGGATACATTTCAACTTTGAGGAAAATGAGGCAACGCCCCCACCCACATCAAGACGTTCTCCATTTTTTTCAACCTTCTCACCAGCCTGCAACGCATCAGAATAAACTTCAAAAGGTCCTCAGACATAATGACTTTCCCAGAGTTATCTCCCCGGAGGCCACAGTAACAACTACACATTAATAGAATTACCTTAGACTCAATCATAGAAGATAATTAAAATACATTACGGGCCATTATTTCGCAACAGTTCCCTGGCCTCAAGAAATGCTGAGTCTGTTGGACGACAAGGCCAAATATTTTTCCTGACACCTCTACACTTTTTCCTGGAAAGGTGTTGACTGAACCCTGGCCAAGGCACGTTCAGATACTTTGGAAACAATGAAATCCAGAGCTGTGGCCAAAGTCAGTCTTTTGAAGTTGCTACATTATCTGGGTAGATATCAAACTGATAAAAAACGAAAACCACTTACACGCTACTGTCTGTCATGGACATGGAATCATCCGTCGTAGCATCGCTGGAGATCTCGCTGTCGTTGGCACTGGTGGCGGGGGCAAAAATGTATCCGGAGTTGACAAAGTAAGGGCTGGCAGGCTCTCCTCGACGATGGGGCCTGAGAAAGAAATGTCCCAAATTTGAATGTAAAGTTGTGATTTGAAGAGGGGAGAGATGTGACAGCTGGGTAGAGTTGACTTTCTCTGTTACTTTTTACAACAAAAAGCGAAGGTGACAGCTTGGAGTTTGTTTGCGACAATGTGACAACAATGTTAGAGATGGAGGTATACTTCTTCTTTTGTCTCTCGACCTTCTTTCATGTCTCTCCTCCCTAACATACAGGGCTTGTGTGTTTGGGGGTGGAGGGTTGATGGTTGGAGTAAGTGAAGTGAGCCGCTTTTCTGTGTGTGAATGAACAACAGAATATACCTTCTTTTTCTCTGCTGCTATCTCCACACTCTTTTGTTTGGGACAGGCACTTTTCCACTTTGAATCTCTCTACTCTCTGTCTTTTCTCCTCTATGCTCTCTTACTTCTATCTCTCCCTCTCTCTGTCATCCAGTCTGGGGCCCTTCCTTTCCCCATTCCCCCCTGCTTTCCTTTCTAAAGTCTCTCTCTCTCTCTGTCTTTCTACTCTCTCCTGCTGTGTTGCATTCCTGTTTCAGTAGTGAAGGGGGTGGACAAGGAAGAGGGAGGGAAGAAGAGGAAGGGGGAACTTGAGCTTTAGTGAGGGGGTGAGGGAGAGAGGAAAAGGGGGAAGGAGGGCCCCTTTCTTTATGAGAATGCCTTCTGCCGGGAGTGCTGAGAGGAGAACCCCAGCATGACTAAAGCCGTAGGCCCCAAGCACAAACCTGACCTTTGGAAGGTCCGCGCAAAGAGTCAGGTATTTAGCACAGCTGGGCTCTCTGCACCCCCTGCTCTCTTTCTCCATCTCTTTTCTTTCTTTCATGATCCCCCCTTCCTTTCTTCCCCCCTTCCCCTCCTCTTGTCTCTCCCTGTCTCTCTCCAAAGCATGCTTAGTCTCTGTCAGACAGATTTTTTTTTTTTTTAAAAAGAAAGATAAAAGTGCTGAATAGAGAAAAAAGAGAAAGGAAAACACACACACACAATCTACGGCAACGTGGGATTGGTGGTTGAAGCTGCGGAACTGAGATGAGGATGTTTTGTTGTTGTGTTTTTCTATCACTTTGGAGTTGAGTATTGGAAGTTTCTCCAAAAAGAAGGGAAAAGGGATCAATGCAGTGGCAAAATTAGTTCCACATGTTTGAGATGGAAATTGGTTGACCTAAAGAGATGGTGAGGGGCAGGGGGAAAGCGCGGGTGACGGAAGGGAGAAAGAGGGGGCTCTCTCCCTCTCCATTTTCTTTTAGTGAAAAACAAGAATGCAGGGGATCACACCAGGAATCCAGGAGATGCCCACATGTCAACAAACCGTGTGCTTATTGGTTCCTAGCTCAACATGGGCCCTTTCAAGCAAATGAGTAACTGTGTGATGATGTTATCTGACATCTGCTCACATGAAGGATAAAATCCTCGAGGGGGTGTTAAAGTTGAGTTATGAGACTTAATCTATTCTGTTTTTTACACAGCTTTTAAAAATCAAGGGGAGGGGGGGTGCATTGTGTAGTCTCTAGTCTCACTACATGTTTAGTTAACCTGAGAGGGAAAGTATGGATTATTTAGTAAATTCCACTTCCTGACCCAACCAAAGTATCAAGAACTTGTCCAGCCTCTAAGTAACAATTGCGTCCAGATGTGAGGACAAAGTAGTTGAGTGAAAAAGTTTTAAAGAGCCTTTTGATGCAGACTCAAGCATAAAATCCAGCTTTTGAAAATGTTCCTGGCTTGAAAAGATTTCAGCTGTTGGACAACGTGTGGGACGAGCTCTTAAGATAAAAGCCCAAATGCTTTCCACAAACAATTCTGCTTTCATCTCTGACCAAGAGAACAATACCCCGGCTTGGCATAAGACTGAGGGATAAAGTTCTCTTAACTCTGTATTGTCATTTCTCTGGGTTAGGGAGATGTTAAGACAGTGTACAATCGCAATATGGCTTAGAGAGTAGAGAAAAAGGGAGAAAATGAAGCAACTTTACAATAGCATCACAATGTTTCATGTAGCTGTAACAGACATGAGGCTTGGTGTCTGAATTTGTGCCTGAACCGGAGGAAGGGTTTCAAAGCACAGGAAACTTGGGCAAGCCAGCAGAGGGCTGCCTGCAAGACACCATTTACTTAAAAGGAAGCCTCAGATCCATTGATGTTTTGTACCCACCCCGCCCCTCCACCCCTCCAACCCCTTGACTGACTGCAAGGCAGGAGGGCAAAAATATACATGCATGTTCCTCTGAGACTCTTTGATCAAGTGCCTTTATCTCTCTCTTATGCATTTGTGAAAAAACTGCCAACTGCCACATATTCGCTGTAGTTTAACTAATGACGGAATGATGATCACAACGAAAGTGTGCACACCACAAATAAACACATGCACTCAAATGTAATAACACACACATGCATGCTGTGGGTGAGCGCGGCTCTTACCTGCAACTATTCTCCAGCACTGCAGCTGCTGTCCGGATGGTAGCAGTAGCCCTCAGGGTTTTCGCAGACAGTCCAACAACAGACCCTAACGTTTTTGCCTTCAGGTCATTACAACTCCACTCCTCTTCCTCCATGAGAGGAGGAAGGTATCCGCACATCAACTTCAGGCTGCCGAGACTCCCGCGGTTCATGTATGCTGCGTTCTCACAGCCCGTGCGCACGTATTCGAGGTATATGTCAGAGGTCAAAAACATCTGGTATGCATTGTCTTCCATGTTTGACTGAATTTCCGTCTGTGCCTGGTCAAACATGGCCGAGTCTATTTGTTGTTTCTTAATACTATCCTTTATGAAGGTCTTGGTGGCCGGTTTCAGCTGCTTGGCCACAATGCTGTTGTTCTCGATGTACCGCTTGAAAATAACTTTGGCAACTCGTAACGTTTTGGTATCCTTTAAGTCCATTTGCCTGAAGCCGTTGCAGGCGAACCAAAAGTCCAAAGTGTCCACGCAATTCTCCCGCTCCAAAAAGGTCCTAAAGAGGTGAGCGCCGTCTTGGTCACCCAGGAGAAAATGCAGTGACTTTGTCCACCGGACTAGGGGCGAGTCCGGGGACGCGCTGCCCTCTGGCTCCCCGAGTCCATCCTCGTTCCTCCGCGGCGTGGAGCCGGGAGGCGCGGAGGCGGCGGCGATATCTTTAACCTTGCTCTGGGATCTCATTTTGGCAGATCTGCTGGGGTCGTAGCATGACGCCTCTCCCTCCTCCCCCGGTACCGGAGGACGAGGAGCATCTTCTCGGAAGCTACTGATGATGTGCTCCGTAAGCGCCCTGCTCATGGCTCCAGCTCCGGTTGCCGTGTGAGAGTGCCGTCGTGCCTCCACTGAGCACCAGCCTAATCCTCCTCACTCTCTAAAAGCAGCGGGGGAGCTTCTTAGCTCCTCTTCACTCTGAAACACAAAGTATTGATCTAATCAAAGCCAGATCCTGCTGAACTTCAAAGAAAGACATCAAGTAAACAGTCCCTTTCAAAACCCTCGCCGGGTTCACAGAGAAAGGAAAAATGAAAGGCTCTTTCGTTTCATTTATCTATTTATAATCTAAATGAGAGATCAACTGCAGCCTACATTCTTAACGTGCATTGATCTGTCACATCAAAACACATTTCACAAGAGTTATAATCTCACACAGCCTCACTCTTCACCGAAACCGTATTCTCACAACTGTGGTTTACACGTGTTTTCCTAACGAGTCCATGTCACAGGCTTCAACTCCAATTAATTCCCAATCTGTTTCGGGCGACCGTACCATACCCCTGTCTGCATCACACACACAGACTCGTCTCCACACTTCTCACCATCCCAGTAATGTAAAGACGAGTGGAAATGCATCTGATCTGCAACACAATGACCTTAAACGTTGTAATGTACGAGGGGTAAAAAGCCCCGCGGGAAAAACTATTCGCTCATGCGTAAATGTAAGCAACCAATCGTCCTAATACATACTTAAGAAGCCTATTACAGGACGCTATTAAAGCCATATACTCGGTAACGTGTCTACACTACCAACACGGCAGAAATACGCGATATATATGGCATAAAACCTCATTAAAAAAAAGAAAAGCCTTTACCGGAGCCTCGGTGCCAAGTCTTAAGAGACTTGTTTCCTAAACGATACACCGATAAACGGCATACACTGTGTGATAGGCGATCAAAAATGCCTCATTACACGTAAAACATTCTTAACAGGCAATATTACTCTAGCACAATGTAACCGATTCTAAAATGCAATGGATGAAGGCTAAAAAAAACGTGCGTAAAACAACATACCATCGCAGAGCAGATCCAACCAGAGTAAAACCCGTTAAAAAGTTGAACTGTTACTCCATTTATAGTAGAGCCTAATACAGTCCAGAATTCTTCAAGCAGTAATCCAGCAGAAAAAGCGACGACGGACTATTTACAGCCTGTGCCGTGCCACATGTGTCCTATCTCGCTGCAAAACAAGCGCTGTAGTTTGATGTACCCAGTCCCATTCAACAACTGACCTCAGAGTAGGCAGGCTCAGTCCCTATGTAGATCACTGGGGGTGTCAAAATCTGGAGGAGGTAAAAAAGGAGGTGGAGGGGGGGCTCCGTTAGAAGAATACATCCCACTTTTTTCCCAGCTAGAAGACGCACCACCAGACAAATATTCGGCTTTTTATCTGGGCTACACATACACTCACACGCACACACACATAAGCTTCTTATCTATCTCACCGTATTTCTCGCCCACAAACAAGAAACATAGCCCGCATTTCTCAACTTCAAAGCTCAGCAGCAGCACATCAAAGCGGCCAAGAGAGGGGGCCTGTGGAACAGCTTTCCTACAACTTACCATCCATGTACCCGAGTAGCCTCCCTTTTTAAACGTGAAAGTAAAGTAGTCAAACAACAGGCTTGCCTACAACCGCTTCGGCATTGTCCTGTAATGTCCTAACACACTGATGAATTTGAATACAGCTTCGAATAAAGGAGAGAAACGTTTTGCCCTCGAATTTTCTCCCCAGGTAGTGTTTCAAGAAGTCATGGAAGGCGGTAGAAAGAAATCCTCCGGGCTGTTTCTAAACCAACTGGGCTGAAGGTTTAACTGTGGACTTCAAAGTAACGAACCGCTGGCCTGGTCCCGGAAGATACATACAAACGCAGCGTCTCATCTTCGCAGCAAACAATACAATAAAATGCACCAGAATGAAGATTGAGGATTGAAAACACCAACAAATTGAATAATCCTTTGTGTTAAACAGTTCTCGTTTGCAAACCCATTCGCTTAGACGTTCATGAACGTTTATTCAACTTTTCTAGACAGGGAAAATATTTACATGTATGCCAGGACCTTATCAAAGACAGGCAATCTCAAGCCAACTCCCCGAGGCTTTGGAGCGTCAGAAGTAAGTGATCTACCGCGCCAATAGCATTATTCTTGTTACTACACAAAGTTTCAACAGAAACACAAAGCAAACAAAAGCGATACTTTAGTTGCCTGTTGCCTCTTCAAGTGACGTGAGGAAGTTTAGTGTAGCTGAGGAAAATACATTATAAAAGGGTTTACAATACTTGTACAGTCCATTGTGGTACATATTTATCTCTTTTCTTACTGCAATATTTTTCTTTGTAATTTTAACATTGGTTTATAGGGAGGCGTATTATCCTTATGTCATTTCAGTAATATTCACACTTAATTACATAGTTACCATAGTAAGGGGAGTGACACTAAATAATATGTGGATACATGTAATTTAACAATGTCCACACAGATTTCAAACATATTCTTTAAGTTATATCACTCTTTTTGTAATCCTTTAAAGTGTAACTGTCAAAATAATTTACATATTAGTCACAGGATTTTCGCCACAAAGATGTCAACCTAACACACTCGCCAGTTCCACATTTAGAGAATATGGCACAGCATGACATTTTGATTGAAATTGGACAGAGAGCAAAGGCAAGAGCTGTTTTCTAGTCTTTTAATTCACATGACTTCCCTAATGTCATTGTGACAGAATCTTAAAGAGTGGGTTAGACAGTGATCCAATCCCATGGTACTTCAAAGGCTATATTGTCCCTTTGATGTCTGAAATCAACTTTAAAGGAGAATATAACTATATAAGTCAGACGATTCAAATTCACAAAACTCTCATGATGGTACAGGACAAGAAAACTAATGAAATTCCACTTTTCCGAGTTCCTGAAGTGTTGATTAGTTCATGTTCAGTTTTACATAGAGACAAATCATGCTGTGCAGCAGTTCCCATGTTGATTTAATATGTTACTGTCTTTTTTCTGTTTGTCCAAACCTTTATTTTCTGATGCATGGCTTAAGGTGACGTGTAATCCACTTCACAATTAATTGGCACTGGGGATTGCCAAGCAATTAACTGAACATATTTTTATTTATTTAGATGATCAATATTTCTCACGGCATCCTGCAACAAACTTGTAGATTTCAGATCTGCCACATGTGCTGAGTATTTTTAACATATTGCCGCTTTTTTAGAAATATGCACAATCACAAGCCTTTCTTGTTTGATTACATTGACATCCTGCCAACCACTTCCTGCATGCTGGAAGCTCGTCTGATGATTGAGACAAGCTTATTTTTTGAAATGTTCACTTGCAAGGTGTTATCAAAAATCTGTATGACAGTGGTTGTGTTTCTCAGTCCGTCAGTCTGCGTTTGCATTCACATGTATGTGTGTACAGTGTGATTATGAAGAGTTCATTCATAGCCACTGTTTATGCTGGAGGGCTTGGTAAAACAAACATTGCCGCCACAAATTCAACAATCCAGCGACCAAAATTCACAAAAAGTTTCCAACACTTTGCAAATGGAAGTGCTCGCTGTCTGCGAGATTGGACACAAAAGGACAAAAAGGCTGAGCTGCGCCAACATTGTGACGTTTAAGGGGCACTTGGCTGATCAGCAAAGACCAAATTAAAGCCATGAAATATGTAGCTATACTGTTATCTGCGCATTAACTTCTCTAAACTCAGCTTTAAAAGGAGAATTGAGATAAAATATATTTTTTGAAGTGCAGGACAAGTGCGATATTTCACATTTGGAATAAGATGTTATCTTTGCTCAAATTAAATTAGGCCGCACATATCACTGCAAAAGGAAAGAAAGGAGTCCTCAGACAGTTCAATTTTTGCTGACAGACAGGAAGCTTCCTTAATGCTTCGCTCAGTCTGCTTATAATGACATGTTAAGATCAAACTATTCAACTATTCAGGATATTCAAATTTTTAATGCATTTCTATATAAAACTTCTGTGATACTATTTTTGCTTTTTTTAATTCATCTGTAAATTGTCATGAGGCGCTAAACCCATGAGACCACACCTGTTGACCCTTGAATGCCCACTCTTGTGTTCAGCAGTGACAAAAGAGAGAGGCGGCTGTAAAGTAACCACAAGAAGCCCCTTTTTGATGTTGACCCTGCCCTGACCCCTTTGTTGGGGCCCTAACCATTTCACAGGGAGATCCAAACGCTTTAAAAGCACAATACAGGACGAGAGTGCCGTCACTGACTTGCTAGAAGCCCCAATAAAACAGGGTGACCTGGAGGCTAATTGAGAGCTTTTGGTTGGGATGAAATTAAAGGCATCTGGTGTACCACCACAGATTGAAAATGAAGGTTCTCTTTAATTAAAGCCTGCATTAAAGCCTGCACAGAGAAAGAATGCATTTCACCACTGTTAGTACAGGTGTCACACCAGGATACATGGCAATAGAAAAGGTCACTTTAATCATAGAAGTGAAGTTTGTTTCTTTCTTCATGTAGTATATAGCACTTTTGATGGTGTATCATTGGTTTTGGGGAGTAACTAAATACATGTAATGGAGTTATGTAATTGACTTATAATATAAATGTAAGTTATATCAGCTACAAAGAAAACACATTTAGTCTTAGTTGTCGTTGTATATATATATATATATATATATAAAAAGTTTGACAGTATCAGTGTTAACTACTCTTGTGAGGTTTAGCTTTATGTTTTCAGTACTTCTTAAGTTTAAGCAAAATGTAATACATTTGTTAGAAAAAAGGATCAAAGGTTAATCTAATGTAAAAGTTACATATTACATCAACCCTCCCAACACTGACTGTTAGTTGCATCACTCAAACTGTAGGCCTGTCCCTTGTTGTCGTATTTGTATTTACATCACACTCCAGCCCATATGTTCCCATAAAGTTAACAATAAATTCTGTACAGCCTGTTTTATCGCCATTTCCTTTGCTCACATCCTACACTTGTACTAAAATAGCTCAGAAAAACAGAGGAGAGGGTGGCTAATTGCAAATAACCCAATATTTTGGAGTTCAAAGGCTTTGGTGGTTTTCAGTGATAATTTTGGCTGAAGCATCACCATAAACACTAATAAAATTAAGTGCGTCGGAGGGAGGAGGGGGCGTGGCCAGGCGTCCCTTTGAACAGACCCTGTGATCAGTTCCCCCTCTCAATTAGCGTATTGTCCACTTGTCCTTTCAGCTGGGAGGGAGGGGGCAGTCTCCCCCCTAGCTTCCCTTTGAAGTGATTATCCCTTTATCTCAAGCCTGAGCGAGGAATATCTTGGGGGACAATGGCAAATTAAAGCCCATATGGAGAGAAGCGTGAATGTCTGTTTGTAGGCTCAGAGAGAAATAGAAAAAAAAGGAGCAATAGAGAAATAAATAGAGTGTGGAGCGAGAGAGAGGGAAAAAAAGGGCAAATATCATCATTCTGTTTGCATGAGCTGAAGGGTGAGTGGTAGATGTCAACACTCATTCAAAAAAGTAATTTAGGGCTTCTGCCTGAGTTGACACTTGTAGAGACTTTAGAAAAGCTAAAGGAATGAAGAGGGGGGATGTAGGAATGGAGAGATAGAAGGATGAGCATGAAGAAGAGAGGAGTGCAGTTGTCAGCAGAATCAGATGGCGGTCAGGCACACAGGCTTGAAGAAGATACAATTAAAGTGTGGAGTTAAGACGGGCTTTGAAGTTGGACATGGTGCATAATACCCTTAAAGTTTGAGAAGCCAGTCATTCATCCGCTTGTTATGGCTTGTTAAGACCATTCCTTTTAAACGGCCCAATTTGAGAAAATAAACTTTAATTTCAACTTTTGAAAAGGTCTAAATGTCTTCAAAGTGACAACAACCAGGTAAGGGTTTCAAAAATGTTGAAACAGGAGTGGTCATCTTTTGAAATCGGAGTGAGGGATTTGCTAAATAAGATGTGGGGGTGTGGGTGAGCGCTTAGGATGAATAATTACTTTCTCTTCCCACTCTGCCTCTTTTTTCTCACAATCCTGTTTTTCGGTGGCTTAAAAGTTTAAAAATGTATAGAGACAATGCCTCTGATGCTTGGCCTAATCCTTTTAGGCTTGGCAACCTTTGTGGTAACCAAAACCCTATCTGATGTGAGCAAATGTTGGCCGAGCCAGTACAGACGGATAGAATGTGCGTATTTACTCGGTGCATAATAATATAAACAGCTGAAAAAGAATATAAAACAACGACTTTCTGCACATTGCATGCATGCAAAGAATAGAAAACTATTAATCACAAATTCCCTGAATTGCAATAAATAATGTAATATTATCCTGCATTCTCTTTATAAGTGTGTCAATTGTTCCTGCAGTAATTCCACTAAAACAATTCCATGTATATTCATGATGTGTGTCTATTTATCGCGCTCGACACATCAAGTGATCTAACAAATGATGTAGAAAAATGCTTGATATGAAGCAACGGTTAGGCCTATTAGAGGCTGAACAAAACCTTTTACAGAGCAACACTGGTTCAAACTGACAACGGCTAACTGGCCAAGGCTCGGCCTGACAGCAAATCCATGCACTGATAAGGCAAATGAAGTGGCGCTATTGATAAATGATCCAGTGTTCAACTGATTTCTGGACAAGACATCAGACAGAGACAACAGTGACACCATAAAACAAACAGAAGGACGTCACAGTGGTTCATTGTTGGATTTACAATCTTTACAGCTAGCTATTGTGCTATCAACTTATCCACATCCTATCATTTCAGACAAGCTCCAGCAGAAAATTGCAG